ACAGAAAGCCTATTTTAATTTTTCCTAGCCTGCTAACTCTGCTTAACCAGTAAAACAAAGTCGTAATTCCAGAGTCTTAGAGGAATGAATCCTCTTTATTTAGATGAAATGGACAAGAATGAAAACTAAAAACTGCACAAATTTCATCCCACTGCTGTCGCAGTCCTGATTCTAGACTTTTTCATGGTCGAACTTTTCTTTTCCACAGTGGAGATGTCTATCAAACGGATGCAACATGAATGACACCCATTTGATAAAAATATCCTGGGCCTCCCATTCCTAGAGTCCTTGTCTGGCAGGCATGAGGGAGGAGGGATTAAAGTATATCTGAAAAAGATGTTTGAGCACTTACTGCACATTACCATATGCCAAACACTGTTTTAAGCACATTAAACGTGGTAACTCTCTCAACCTTAAAACAACTTTTTAACATCTTTGATATTGTTATTATTAATATTATTTCATTTTACAGAGATGTTTGGTAATGTGCCAAAGGGCAGAGCCAGGTAGAGTAGCTCCAGAGTAATTTTCCTAATCACTGGTTGACACCATTCTTGAGGTGAGCATGGCAGCAAGTTCAGTCTTGACTAGGCTCATTTCTTTGTTTCTGCCCCTTCCTCTGTCGACCAGGAGTAAACTTGTTCCATTCTCTTATGTAATTACATCAGAATCAGAGTTGAATTGCTCACTGATCTTTTTCTTCATAAATTTCAGTCATAGAAATAGAATCTAGTTGTTTTAAACACAATTGTCTATTTCAAGAGAAGTTTAATGAATCACATCGTTCTAGGTCAAGGGTTGGCAAGCTCTGCTCCATGGGCCAATTCTTCCATCGACTGGTTCTGTAAGTAAAGTGTTTTCGGAGCACAGCCACATTCATTTATTTACTTTTTCTATGGCTGCTTTCATGCTACACTGGCAGAGTTGAACAGTTATGACAGACACCGTCTGGTCTGCAGAAAAAATTACTTTCTGGTTGTTATGGAAAAATTTTCCAAGCCCATTCTGTTCTTAATTGTTTAAGCAGACCCAGGGAAAAGTTATGTTTGATTCAAACTATGTTTTTTGTTTGTTTTTTTGTTTGTTTTGCGGTACACGGGCCTCTCACTGTTGTGGCCTTTCCCGTTGCGGAGCACAGGCTCCGGACGCACAGGCTCAGCGGCCATGATTCATGGGCCCAGCCACTCCGCGGCATGTGGGATCTTCCCGGACTGGGGCACGAACCCGTGTCCCTTGCATTGGCAGGTGGACTCTCAACCACAGCATCACATGGGAAGACCCAGATTCAAACTATGTTTTGACTAAACCTTGAAAAATCTATACCCTTTTTTTGGAAGAAAGTGTAGCCATGTTTAACAGAATAGTTCCGTAAAATAAAGTTTCAATAACTACTAATTTTTTATTGTAACCACAAAAGTTGAGTAACTCACAAACAGAACTTTAAGAACTATTCTAATCAAGTGCTGATCTATGCAAGGCCCTGGCTGAAGTACTGAGGGTGTGGGTGGAATAGATGTAAAACCCAACTCAGACGATGAGGTGTTCCCTAGTTAGAGAAGAGATATAAGCCCAGATTCCTGGTATGATGAGTCTCCAATCAGCTCCAGTCCTTACTGTGTACTCCTGTTGGAGAACTGTCACAGTCAGCTTTCTCATGGAGTTAGACTCATAGGATCTCGCCATTGAATGGTGGGAAGCAAGACACAGACCACATCTTATTCATCTTTGTACCCCTCCCAGGGCCTGACAGAGTGCAGTGCACTTTGTGGCACTCAGTTACTATTTGTTGAGTTTGACTTCGCTGCCGCATAATGATGATACAATAAAGTGATCTCTAGATGCCTTATGAATGGCCATGCATTACTTCCTCCAACCCTGCTCTCAATCCCACTCTGTCCCTTCTCTGTCTGGAGCAAGCTCCCCTGGAATATAGTAACAAGGGGCAAAGGCATTCAGAGAACTTTATGCTATACATTGTAAAATTGATTTTAAAAAAATGGAGCAAACTTTTTGTATGAGAAAAGATGCTTCTTAATAAGACGTCAGGAAATGCTGTGGTGTCTCACTGGTCTTGGCATAGAAGGTGTCTAATGAAGATATTGTGTGTTTTGCTGGGGAAGTCATTTTATAGAGAAAGACAGAGGTTATGATTCTTCAGATTTAAATTTTTTCTTCAGCAGTATAAGCTATCTCTTCTACCAGTCCTTCCTAAATGCACCAGAAAGGAGGCTTCAATAATCTTATCTGTTCTATCAATTCCTACCTGGAATAAATTTCTAAGCCCAGTTCTTTTGCTCTCTTTCTTAAATACAGACCTTAAGTAATATAAAGATTATTTCTGAATTCTGTTCTTCCATTGGAGCTGCTCATGTAATTTGCCTCCTGCATCTCGGTCAGATGTCTTCCCCTAATTCTCAGATCACATCCTTCCAAAGGACCTGCTTATTTCTTCTCACAGAAATAGCACAGAATGGATTCACCTGCATCGTAATAAATCCCATGACAAAACCTGACTGATGCTGCTTGCTGAACAGAGCTCATTTTCTGAGAGTGCATCTAAAGAGTTTTGTGTGGTCTCACCCCTTCTCCCGTGACCTATTAGCAGCTCTTTTGACTGTGTTCCAGAATTCTGAATTGGTTCAGTGGCAGATTCAAAAAGCTTTCTTTTCATCTTGACTGCTGTTCTCAGAGCTGTCTCTCTCCCACAGAGAGTTCTTTTAAAAACTATCCTTTCTAAGGAATTTTACTGTAACCCCATAAGGATTCAAGCTTTATCTCCCTTTTGTTCCCTTTTCAACATCAATTAGTTGTTGAGGCAAACTGAGAAAAGATAAAGCTACAGTTTTGAACTAGGAATATAATTCAAAACTGTCATTGGCTTATCAATCTAATATTTCTCTCTATCGTTTTCCCTTTAATAGGTGATGATACAAAGCAAAAATGTTCAATAAATGTTTGTGAAATGAAATTCAGTTTTTGCTAAAATGTTCAGGAATAGGGAAAAATAGCAAAGGTAAAAAACAACCCCTCTACCCCCAAAAAAACCCCAAAACCCTTACACTCTAACATCTGTTTTAATTTCCTCACGACTTTTAATTGCTCCTACACATAATATACTGATTTCAAAGGAAAGAAAATTAGCCCTGAAGTCAAATTAAGGGGCACCTTTAAAATTGCGGGTGTCTAAATGAACCACGAAAATCTTTGTGTTCATATGTTGTGAGGCTTTTATGAGGTTGACAGATTCCAAGAGGAGTGAAGACAGCAAACCCATAAACCATTCTGCTGAGGTCTTCCCAAGAGTGTGGGATTAAATTACCACTTACACATGAACAAAAAGAATGTGCTACAGACAAAAATATTTTCTCCCTTCACAGGCTATGAAACTCCCTTGAGTAAACAGCTTCCACACATCCAGTGCTGTGATAACAACAATTATGTAAGACAAAGACACAGGCTGCTCATTTTTCCAAGGGCACTCTTTTCTCATAATAATTTCTAGTTTGACTTTTTTAGTAGGTCATTGGCTACAAAAGGCAAAATTAATTGTATGGCACTAACATCAGCTTAGGTTTGACTGGTTTAGAGCACCAGCTTGAACAGAGTGGACACACGTGGCATGTATGTCTATGGCCTTCAGAAAGAGAAAGTTGAGTGGCATTTTGGATGTGGGCCTGCAGCGCAGGTCCAGGGTAGGAGAATTCCCAGAGGTTTACTGCTTCTTTGGCTATGAGCTGTTTTCAGTTGCTAAAAACACACTTTTCACAAGGAAACACCTTCCATATCTAGGTAACTTAAAACACTGCAAAGCCAGAAAATGACTTTGCTTTCTTTGTGGCTTTAAAGTATTATGTTTATATCTTTTGTTTTATGTTTTGTTTTGCTCCCCCTGAAATGCACTATTACCTCCAAATTTCATGGTCACCTATCACCACTTAGGTTTCCCATATAAAAAATCAGTTTTTCTTTTATTATTTTCTTCTCTTTTTTTAAACGTAAATAAATGAAATAATTTAAAGCTATCATTTAAACATGGGCACTTACACTCTTAGGAAATAAATAATGCTGGCCTAGTTCTGACAAGTTAGTTTCTTCCTAAAATATAACATAAATTCCCAGTTTAACTTAATGTTCAAAGCTTTTAACTATACCCAGTTTTCCAAAAATTCTTCTTTTAGGCATTTTTCTCATATTCAAGTAATAAAAAAGTTTAAGTTTTGTTTAGAAAGTACAGCAAGATGAATCAATTTTGCAAAATATTTCAAAGTGGAAGAGAAACTCATTTGGGAAATAATGAGTTGCCTTGCAGTGGATCATCTATCCAAGTACTGAAGACATTGTATCTCCAATATAGGGAACTATTAAAACTATGGTGTATTCATTTCAAAAGAGAAAAAAAAAAAACAAAACAATTGTCACATTTGTAATATTGCAAGCAATACACTTTAGTTGTATTTTCCCATGAGTGAAAGAGACCAAAATGTAGAGAACCCTGCACATGGAGGTATTTCCTTAAACAAATACTGTTAATACTACTTTTTTTTTTTTTTTTGCCAGCTAAGTTTAAGATAATGCTTAAAGAGTGATAAGAATTTTCCCAACTGTCAAATGAATACCAGCTTTGAAATACCTTTTTCCAAGTTACCAAGTGTTGAATGCAATTCATGTTAGTTATTTATATTATAAAAAATATGCTATTTGAAACATTTTCAGCATTACTCTTTCACTGCTATAGCCATATGCTGCCAAATTTATATGCTTGCTGTATTCTTCTTTGTTGGTTCAGAACCTGTTTGTAAGTCATGTTTCATTAAGTGACTCATAAATTAAAGAAACTGCTAAAGAAAACTAGAAAGAAACAAGATTTCTTTTTGGTAATACTTCATTCACTGGGCTAGAAAAGTTTTCCCAAAACATTTAAATGAATAATTCTTTAATTCAGTAGGTTAATATTTGAGAAAGAAACATGACATATAGGAGGTCAAACATTTAGTACTCACTGTAGAGAATTGTTCCATTCAAAGTGCTTGTTTGTATAGTCAAGTAGATGTTAACAATTGTGTTACGTTCCTTCCTCAGAGTTGTACAAAAAGGCAGTTCTAAGTAGGAATTCCCGTTGAAAGATGGAAAAAATAAACCTGCATCTAAAAAAAAAAAGTCATATTAATATATGTTCTGATAGCATTCAAGTAGCTAATCAAGTAGATGAAAACATAGCATTTATAGTTAACATTCATATAAAATGATAACACTGGTATTTATAAATATTTGGCCAAACTTCAAGAAATTGAGATATATAAGTATAATAAATTTATAAAGTCATTGTCTCAAATAATTAACTGCCAGTCCATAGGAAAAAACTTTAAGCAAAAATTTTAGATGGATGAAAAAAATGCCCTGATATTGTATTAAAAATGTGTCCCTGCATATGTGAAATAATAGTTTTCATTAGATTCTTAAAATATCCTGTCATACAAATGGCAGTACATCAAATTACACTCTTAAAATTCATGAATTTTATTTGATGTAATCATACCTCGATAAAAAAGTTAAAAAAAGCCTGTGACACAAAAAGATTAGAAATTTGTCTCATAGAGGTATTTTATTAATATTCATTAATATCTAGTGTTTGTCAATAATACTTAGATATTTTATAAGTAGTATTACTATAACATGCAAGGTGATTAATAATTTTTACAGTTATCCTTTTAAAATTATTCTTTAAATGAATTAATCTCATAAAATCTGGAGGCACATAAAATTTGGAAAGTATTTTATTGTCATATGTATATATTTAGATCTATAGACTTGATACATTGAACAAGTGTAATATAATATATGGGAGGCTAGAACTTTATTTTTGTCTCTCTCACAATGGGGGAAATTTTCTCTGCCTCTGGATGAAAACTTGGCAGGCCCTATGAGTTCTACCTTCTTTCTAAGTTATACAATGATACAGAAGCTAATCCAGGCTAAGAATTTTATCAACATTTAAATCTTCCTTCAGAGATATAACTTCCCAGCCCCCTCCAACCAGCTAAGGTCTGCAGGGCACCTGTCACCTGCTGCCTGTTTTCCGGGCAGGAAGATGTTGGTTCCTCTTATTTTTCTGTTCTTAGAGCGTCCTCTCAAGCTAGCTGCTGTTTCAGATACTTTGAGCTTTGCAGAGAGGGCAAAGTGGGCAGGAAGGAGAGAGAAGTTCATAGTAAAGTGTAGCTATTACAGCTGGCCACCAATACTGTTGTAAGCAGTCCTTTGCTCTCCATGAAGAACAGATGTTTAAAACTGTTTTTCTCACAGTAGGAATGTCAGATAAAATATAGGGTGTTCAGTTAAATTTCAGTTTCAGATAAACAACACATAATTTTTTAGTGTATGTCTCAAACATTGCATGAGTTAAGCTTATACTAAAAAATTATGTTGTTTATTTGAAATTCTAATTTAACTGAATGTCCTGTATTTTAACACTATGACTCATGAGCATTTGTGTAATCTTTAGACACCCCTTGCCAGCTACAATTCCTAGGATTTTATCTCATTTCTAACTTGGTCCCCTCTGATTTTTCACGTTATATACAGATTCTTGCTGCCGACAACTACTTGCCTGTGTTGAAGCAACAATTGCACTGGACAAAGTGAAAGAGGCAAGAAAGACTTTATTCAAGGCTATTGCAATAGGGGAGAGAGGCCAGAACTCAGCTTTTCCTCGACTCCTCTGAAAGAAAAGGTGGCAGATTTTTTAAGAGCTGAGGTGGGGGCCCATGTGCTACCTGTGTCACTACTTGGCCCTACCCCCTAAAAACATAAACTCTCTCATGTCTTCATCACAGAAGATAGTTTACAGCTTAGAACAAGGCTCCTATCTGCTCACAGAGAGGGCCACTTTCTTTCTTGATGATTGCATTTCAAAGAGATGATTCTGGGTCCCAAAGAAAGGCATCTCTGATTTTAAAAAGATTTTAAAAGAAGATTTTAAAAAGATTTATATCTCAAAAGATGCAAAGGAAGAATTACAACGAAAAGTTTTCAATAGTAGATGCTCTGAGAAAGGTGAGGTCATGGGCCTAGAGTCGGAAAGAAGCTTCTCTAAAGTTCAGGACAGCTGAGGAGAATGCTAAGGTTGTCTTGAGCACCTGACTAGGAAAACCACTGGGGCAGAACATCCAGTGAATCCAGGCCAAATGGCTTTCCTGAGGAGTCCATATCTAGACCATGGTAGACATTTTCTTCCCTGCTGCCTATGGAGGTATAATTAGTGGTCAGTCTCTTCCCTATCTCCCTCTCCACACACATAGACACAGACACACACACACACAGGCTGCTTTGGCTTTTTCAGATATGAATGCATGACTCTGTTGGTCTGTTATGTTCCTTTCCGAATGATAGGGTTTTAACTATCCTTAAACACTGTCAGATGTGATGGGTGGGAGAGGGTTCAGGGTGAGGTCAACAAGATAGCTTTCTACAAAAACATTTTTTCTCAAAATCGTGTCTTCATGTCTTTAAAATCCTTTCTCTTCTTCAAATGATGCCTCTTTTTATATGAAGAGTATTTTCTAGTCAAATCTTGCTTTTAGATATGGTACCTCATTTTGCTTAAAACATTATAATCTGGTGTGTGAAAGTTTATTTTTAACATCTTGATTTTGTCTATAACTTTGTATTGTCAGATACAAATTATATACCTTATCTATTAGCAAAATGATTTAAGGGAAAAGGGAAGAGGGGGAGGGACAAAGTAGGTATATAAAATTAACAGATACACACTATTACTCATAAAATAGATATGCAACAAGGGTATATTGTATAGCACAGGGAATTATACCCATTATCTTGTATTAACATATAATGGAGTATAATCTGCAAAAATACTGAATCACTCTGCTCTACACCTAAAACTAACACAATATTGTAAATCAACTATAAAGTAATAAAAAATAAGTTATGTGACATCATATATTTTACCATTCCTTGGCCTTCCATGCACAATCTTTATCTCATTGAAATTTACCTTCCTGGCTTTGTATTTTACTGGATCTGTTTTGTCAAAAGTTTTAGGCCCAGTTAACAAATCCTTCTGTAGTGCTCACCTGCCTGTGTAATACTTAAGACTTATTTTTATAAAAGTTTTCTCCTTCCTTGTCTCTTATGACACCACTACACGTTGACTGTCTTCCTGACAGTCTTTTCCAGATGGACCTTTCAACCACTCCATAATGCTTAGTTTTTGAGGCTCTGTTCTGTGTCATCTAATCCATCTCTGTCTTTACTGCTGCTCCTCTTCTGTTTTTTTGCTCTTGGCACCTACTCTCTCAGGCCTAGAAACTCAGCATTGTTGTTCACCCATCTCTTCTCAAACTAGTTGCTGCTTCCTGTCACCTCTTTCTTAGATCAAAACTTGCAGTGTTCCTTCTGCTGCCATTGCCCTTGTTTAAGTTCTTATTACATTTCAACTCAGTTGTTGGCAATGGCTCCTTTCTAACTGGCCTTCCTTCCTACTGTGTCTGATAGCTGTCTTTATTGTGACATCATTGCTGTGACATCAACATTAGTTGTAATTATCTAAGATCTTTGGTCAAAAACCTTCAGGGACTACTGAACTGCCCTGTTCCCTTGACCATTTTTCCTGACATTTGTTGGCACCAAGAAGCAACTGTGAGATGTAAGAACTAATGAGAGCAGGGGTGGGGGGATGGGGGATGCCTAAAAATACCCACCCCATCTGCCTTCTGTACTGCTCATTCTCCTGTGGCAAGATTTGTGTTTGATTTATCTTTGCAGCTCCCTATGGCATGATGAGTTTCATACATTTTAGGCATAAACATTCTTAGACAAATAAAAATATAGCTAAAACTTTTATTTGTGGTAGTTTTGGAAAAAAAAGGGACAGAAAGACATTCTTATAATTAAAATGGAATGAGGAAACTCTATAGAGATAGGGTTCTAGCATTCTTCTTGTGGTTAAACTTTTCACATTGTTGATAAATACACAAGAAATTTTCTTTATATAAGGGTTCACATATGAATTAAAATATTTGATTCTCATAATCAAGCTTACATATCCTGAGAAGTAGTGAAATCACCAAGAGCAATAAAAGTATAATTCAGTTTGCTAAAAAATGAATTCTGCATTGCTTTGCAGGAGAATAGCTACTGTATAATTTAGGTGCATGTGTCTAGCTTACATGCTCCTTGAGCCTTTTTTTCAGAGCTGACAGGTTTTACGAAAGTTATGACAGGAAACAACAATTATGAACTATAAACATTTGCTATTGAATTGCTTTCTAACCATATTAATTTTCATTATCATCATGTTTAGTGGATATGTTGAAAAACAGAACTGCCTTGAATGTAGGAAACAAGACTAATTGGGGTTAGGTAGAGTGTTTTCCTGCTGCTTCCAAAAGCTTCTTCAGCAACACTATTTGAATACACTCTAAATTTATTTTTCTTCCAATTATAAATGGAAAAAAACCCCCAAGGTTTTTATATGGAAATATGTATTAAACATCTTACAAAATATTTGATATAGTAATTAATTAGTGGCTTCTGATTACAACATAGATATCTGTAATGTTTAAATGTATTAAAATCATATAGATTGATATAACAAAGTATATTAACTTTAACATGCTTAAAAAATTTTAAATCAGTCTGAGTCATGGGAAAATCCAATAACTTAACCCAGGAGAAAGATCTTTTAAATCCCTTATATTATTTAAAACTCTCAGATTGTCAAAGGAAGCTATGGAACCTCAGTACTGAGTTTGAAGCACATTATGTTAAAAATATGGATGAATTTAATTTTTATTGCCAAATGTATTTCTAAAGTATGAATCAGAACTATAGTCAGTTAATTGAAATTTATCCAGGAGAGCACCATGGAGTACATTATGACAAAGAAAACACAGAAGAGATTAATACCTTTACTCTGAACACAATGCAGCTGAGAGCACAAGTGTTATTCATTCTGAATAGAAATGGAACACCTTGTCTACATATAAGGCACACTCCTCTTATGTTGTATAAAGGTCTCCTTGATCTAACCCCAGAAAATAACATACTAACATACAAATAAAGCTACAAATGCAGTGAATCACAAATTACCCATATACCTTTATTATAATTCTTGGTATTAGAAGAA